TTACAGTGTCATGCGGACCAATTAAATGCCCAGAATCGCACAGACACATTTGAAATACCTGTAAACCATATACTACATTGTACATTGTACAAACTCTGTTCCTGGTAAAAAAATATCAAATAAATAAATAAAGCTGCCACGTGTCAATAAAGTGAAAATCATCATGATTACTGCAGTTAATTCTAACACGAGCAAAGATTAATCATTAATTTATGATTATTTATTATATAATAAATTTAATAATATTTATATCATTAATATTTAGTTTAAGATAATTTATACTTTTTTTTAAAAAAAAAAAGAAAATAAAGCCACATTATATTTAAATTTAAATAAAATATCTTATTGTTGTAAGAAAACTTTGAGTTGATATAAAGTTATAAGCTAAGTAGTGAATATTCACTTGATCACATATTTGGTGCTTATGTCCTTTATAGAACAGATCAAAAGACTATTAGCCCTAACATGGTTAGCATTAAATTATTGTAATGAACATATGTTGCCTAATTTTTTGTGATTTGTTGGGTTTAGATTATAAGCACTATTATATATATACAGTATATAAGAGGTTAATACTGTATTTAGAAATATAGACAATAATAACAAATTTAAAAAATTTTAAACTTGATTTTCTTCTATTTTATTATAATAATAACAAAAATAGTTAGATTTTTAATTAAAATAATTATTTAGGTATACTTACAATACAATATTCATAACCATTACTAGTTCTAATAATAATAGAAAGGCTTAAATATTTGTTTAGAGGTAAGTTTTATATAATAAAACAAGTAATAAACTAATAATTTGATAATAATAATCAATATGTTAGTGCAGCTTATTTTACATTTAATTAGTCTCATGACCAGTCCATCCAGTTCCATACTGATCAGTCGTAATCAGTTCCGGACTGCAGTCCAGTCTAACTTTTTAAAAGACTGCCAATCTTTAGACCAATTAATAGCCCTGATAGAGTTATTAAAAAAATTATAAGAGCTATTTGGTTGCTGATATTTTATTAATAACTCTATCAGTTCTGATATTAACTTGAAAATAAAACAGGTTGAACTATCAATCAGTACTATATCAAAACTAAAAACTGTAATATTTGCCCAATATGTTTTATTTCTACTGGTGTTTGAACTGATCTTTTGACAGGTTTGTTTTTACTATACAATATTGGTCTTGTATACCTAATTTATATCTGGTATAAGTTAAAATTTTCTTGCAGCAGTATTAAATATACTGGGAACACTATTCTAAGGGTATTGGATGCTGCACCCTACAAAATATCTTTATTGTACCACTAAACAGTAGGTGTTTCAGGAACTGCACTGGTCAAAATAAAGCATATTGGGCAAATATCAATAAATTTTAAATAGAAAATTTATATAATATTCATAATTCAAAAACAAACAATACATTCAGAAAAGTTTTAGCAAAACAGTTAAAAACAAGAATAATTTTATATATTTAAAAGCTATTATCATAATGATCTAGAATTATCTTTTGATTGCACAACATCTAATTTGCATTTTTTTTTTTATAGCATATGTTAATTATTCAAAGTGTTAGTATATGATATTTGATCAGTATGACCGACATTTTCAGACACTTAACTCTTCAGTAAACCATAACAAGAGGAGGTGTATTTATATAAAAAAATTATTTTACAGTACCAGATTATTTCGCTAGTACATGTTATGATTATAATTCAATTCTCATTATTATAATAAAAATGATGTTGGATTATAATTATAACATGTACTAGCAGGTTAATTTAGTTTTGTAAAATAATTTTTTTATATGTTGCATACCAGGTAAAGGATTAGTTGTATAACCTTAACAGTTCCTCCTGTTGTAAACTATACACTTCGTACTTTGTGCTACATTTCTGGTATAAGGTTTTGTCTGTTTAAAGCATCTTAATTGGTCAGTTTATGCGCTATGACCTGGGCCATATGTGTTTGTTAAAAATTTTTGTTCCTTGATGCACTAAGATTAGTTACTATGTACTCAAAAATTCTGTGGCATTTTTGTGATACATGCAAATTTTTTAAAGTTCATTAATGTTAAGATTAGTGTTTAGAACATTTATATGCTTATGGCATAGCAATAATCAGCATTACTAAAATAATTTTCTCTAGCATTACCTCTAACCTTAACTCTGGCCAATGTTGTAGTTAATCCTCTACGGAACTACAGAATGCCAAAAATCATGAAGAAAACTATAGTAAAAGTTTTTTTATCAAAATTTACTCTTAAAATTACTGCAACACAGATGTACAGCAAATAAATGTTTATGATTTTACAAGATTGCTGACTTTATAATATATAACCAACTAGTAATTTGGTTTGCCTTTTTTACAGCTGTTTTCATAAATTTCAAGACATCTAAGAATCTGCTCTTTTTTCAAAATTTCCAGAATTATAACTTTTTGGGCACCACTATGTTCAAAGTCAAGACCCAAAAACAACTGAAATGTTAGATTATAATTAGAACAATATCAAAAAAGTTTTAGCAAAAAGTAAATTCTAGGTGCTTCAGAATTTATAAAAACAGCAGTAAATTCTGGAAAACATTTATAAATAAAAGGGCTTTCTGCAATATAATTTTGAAGAAATGGAATTTTAAAAAAATGTGTTGATCAGAAGTTATTTATATGGCATTTGCAGATAAATAATTTATCAGGAATATGTGATATCGATTAAACAAAATTTCAGTAAATATAATATCAAAATTATGACATGTTAGTAAAACTGATTGTTAGTATTATAGCTTTGGAAAAATTAAAATTGATTTCGGAAAGTTAACTCAGAACCATTGGGCTATTTCTATTAAAGTATTTAAAAACTTTACCAATTTCCATACATTATTAGTTAATATTTTTATTCTTATTAGATCAACATGAACAAGATATAATTAAAAAAATAATGTAGTAATAAATTTCAATAAATTTGATTACATTATATGAATTTTATTAATTAATGTACAATACTAGACTAGATTGATTAACAGCCCTACTTTTGATTCAGATTAAATTAAATAAACTTAACTTCCTTAACATATCTTTGAGCCTTATTTATATAATAAATTTTTTGATATTGTGAGTCCTGAAATTTGTCCTACCATATTACAGTTACCTGTGATTGATCATCACATGTAGGACCCATCATCTACTCGAATAATTGTCATATGAATAGTAAGATTTATCTTACTTTTCTTACTTCTATTACTTCATTACATTTATTATATTTATTATTTCAGGTAGAATAATGATATATGAAGCATTCAGTTTTTAGTTATTATAGTGGAAAAAGAGATTTTAAGAATGTTATATTGTAAATAGATAATGTAAAGGAAATAATCCTTGAATATAAATAAAAGTTTTATTATAAATAAAGGGCTTTGTGCCCAGAGAGAAGGTAACAAGTATGGGTGATACCTCCAAGTAAATACATTTTCGTACAATAAACTTAAGTATCAGACTCATATTACAAGTGGAACTATAAGCCAATCCAAACTGAAAATTATCATTAAAACCATCATCATAAACTATCATTTGCCAGAAGTTATGTGATCAAGCTGTTAATGCAAGAGAAGGACTCCAATCCAATTTGATGCATCGTAACACCAGGTTAAGAAAGTAGAAGGAGAAGAAGAGAAGGCAAAATGTTAATAGAAGAATAGGTTGAAGGAAAGACTTAGAAGAGAGAAGACTAGTACTTAACTATGGATAAACCACCCAGCCAAATCAACACACCTATTTCAACTTAACTACTGTAGGTTACATAAGGATTGAAAGGAATTAGTGACAGACTTACTGATTTACCAAACTATATTTGGTGATGACTGTAAGATATGAAAAGAATTAGTATTTAGAAATGTAAATAAGAATTTTAGTATATTTATTACAGAAGACAAAAGAATAAATAATATTTACTTGCTATCAACATCTAAACAATCCCAAAGACAAGTTAAAACCCAAAACTTGAAGAGATAAATGTCACAAGTTTGATAGTACTCTCAACTGACTAGATAAACTTTTAACAAAATGTTTAGTGTTTTATTGTAAAAAAAAAACTCATAATATTAGTAATTGTCCAAAAATAAAAAAAAGGCAGCTGGAATGTTTAGAACTGTTGATTACACTTACCCAGGAACAAACTATAGAAGTCTATAAAATAGTAGAAGAAATCATAAGAGACCATAGCCTTTATGACCCACAAGTCTTAGAATATTTTTTAACTATATTAAAGAATGTTAGCTTAAATAATAACTTGGATAATAATGACAAAAAAGACTATTATATCTGCTCTTATATGCTCAATTAACTCTATTTTTAGAAAAAGAATATTTGTTTCTTATGTCTTCAATAGTTCCAAGTCTGAAAGTCTATTCAATATCATCCTTGTTTAAGAAAGTTCTGATTAATAAGATAATTAACCTCAATCTTGTTCTTAAAGTAGAGATTAAAAACCTTAATACTGATAAAGCAGGAAAAGTTAGAACTTGTTATCAAAATAGAACTAGTACTGAAAAGAGTAAACATAAAGCTTCTGAATATTATCAAAAATCTACCAAAATAGAGAATGCTAATAGAATATATTATACTGGATCTTGTGATAAAAATGAAATTGAAGTTGAAAAGGGCAAACTTAAGAAGGTTGATAAAATAATAATTATTTTTGAAGAAGAAAACAGAAAGTAGGAGAAGATTAAAAGACTAAGATTGTTTTATTTTGGAAAGCTTGAAGAAGCCTGTAATAAATATGTAAATAAGGTTAAAAATTTTAGCAAAAAAAACTTTTTTTGCTGATCATCATGCAGCAAACAGATCATAAAACAAAATTTTCACAAAAAATAAAAACAATAATAATAAAATCTCTTGAGAGGCAGAAGCCCTTATACTAGAAAAAAAGAAGAACTCTGGAGCAAACATAAATGAGTTGCAAAGAAAATGAATTAAAATCCATGATACCAGAACAAAAAATATAACATGAATAAAGGAACAAATAATATAGAATTAACTCAAATAACTCATCCAAAAACAAATCAAGAGCATGAGACAACTTTGAGAGTAAATAGTAAGAAGTCTCTAAATTGGTCTGAGGATATGGAATTAGAGTTTTTAGTAAAAGATAACCTTATAGACATAGTATTGAGCTTCATAGACAAAACAGAAAATTTGTTGGCAAAGGAGATAGAACCTTTTGAAAATATCATAGACAAGTTAAATAAACTACTTATAGTTAGAACAAATGAGGTCAAACAATAATCTAGCTTATTTACTAAGTTAAGAAATAGCAAAGCCATCTATTCCTCTTTAGCTTCTAGGACCAAGATATACACAAAGAATGAAAATGTATTGATTTTTAATATTTAAAGTCTTGAAAGTGTTTTTTTTAAATAACATTATTGTTGCACTATATTCAAAGATGAAAGATGATTAAATTGCTATGAAACCTTATTTTATTAAAGAAAAATGTCTATATTTAGAAGCAACTTTTACAAATAAAGAAAAATAGCAATACTACACAACAGAGAGAATAGTCATCTTTAGACAAACTTTGTTAGACTATATTTTAGTAGATATCAAATGTAATTTCTTACTAGTCAGATTAAGAAATATTCCTTTGAGATGAAGAGTTTATTTCTAAACAAATTAAGATTGCTTTCAAGGATATAGATAATATTTTTTTAATTAAACCTATGATATATGAAAAAACACTAGTATGCTCAAATCAATGAACAATTACATATTTTTAAAACAACAAAAATTCAGAAATAATAAAAAAGATTCTCTGATATATTCATATATGTGACCAAAAAATAATTACTGAATAAAAAGAGGCACCTAAGCTCTGTTTTTATTGTGACAAGTTAGATATATAAAGAGAGATTATACTAAATTCAAGGTATTAGTAGAGCTTAGAAAACTACAAAAAGAATAGAAAATCAATAAATCAATGAAGTGCAAAACAGAAAAACCTTAAAGTGGTCAGAATTTAGTATAAATAACTCATATATTACTGACATGCATATAGAAGCAGACAAAGAGACTGTGTCCTCTAACCAAAAGAACAGAATATTAAACCAGCAAACTGAATTTATATCAATAAGTTTATATAAGAATGATATTTAGGAAACTAATACAAGGTTGTGTCAGATAATGTAAGAAGAAAAGAATGCTATAACTAATACAAAAGTATTAGAGGAAGATGATCTAAACCAAGTATCAGATATTATTTTAAAACCTATTTTTACACATATATACAACAAAACAATAACTTAATAGGAGAAACTGAAGTATTAATTTTTAGGAATGGACAAGAAATTAAAAATAATAGTTTTATTAAGGTGGTGAGAAAAAAAAAGATAAGAAAAAGAAAAAGAATGTAGGAGTTACTAAACAACATAATCTGTATGAAAAGGTTAAAAAAAAAGAAAAATAATATAATTCTGAACAATAAGAAATATAATTATATTATCATAATATACTTATAATTATTAAATGTATAACAATATCAAAGTAGCAACATTAAATATCAAGGGTATGAACAATAGACACAAATGTCAAAAAATGATGACTTTATTAAAATCTTATAATATAGATATAATAATGATTCAAGAAATCAAGCTAGAAAATTTTTTTACAAGAAGTTTTCTTGCACAACAATGGATTTTTAATTCATATTGAACTTTCAAAGTAGCAATATTAGCAGCAAAGAAAGAGATTAAATTTAATGAAATTACAGAATCATTTAATGGTCAAATCTTGTTAGCTAAGTTTAAATATAAATGATAGTCATACCAGATCACTAATATTTATACATTCTTGAATATCAAAAATCAGGTTACTTTCTTTAATGAATAAAGTTCTCAAATTGATGACACTGTTATTAGTATTATAGCTGAAGATTTTAATGTAAATTTAAACCCATACGAAAATAAAATTAGCCAAGCAGAAATATATAATGATTTATCAAGAGATATATTAAAAAGTAAAATAAAAAATTTTGTAGATATAGCAGATATCATTGGAGTAAAACTATTTCTAACCTTTTATCAAAAAACTTGTGATAATCTTACTATGTTTATCTGTCTTAATTATATCTTTGTAGATGCAAATAATAGTCATTTTTGTAAAAGTATTAATATCAGATCTGGTAACTCTGACCACTTGTTGGTTGAATATGAATTTCAATTTACACAAAGTCTAGTAAAAAAAGCTTTCCGAAAATTTGATAAATAGTATTAGTCTAATACCAGAATTAAAAAAGAGGTAAAGGAAGAATTACAAAATATATGAAAGATAAAAAAATAAGATTTCTATAAGTATATTATATAATTAATTATCAGAACATTTAAACTACAAGTATCACTAGAGAACAAATACAAAAAATTCATAAAAGTTTAATGGAAATAAATATGAAAATTGCAGGTAAGGATAAATATGAAGATATATATATAATAGCAGATAACTTATGCATACAATTACAAAATAAATATTTGCTTTTTGAAGAAATGTCAAATTAGATCAAAAATTAAATGGATTAAGGATGGTAAGAGGTTAACAAAATATTTTTTTATAATATATAAATTAAAACACAAAGTAACTCTGCTAGATCTAATCCAAAACCTAGTTAATTTAACTGAGAAAGACCCTTTGTTTATCTTGTATTTTATTCATAATATATATGAACAAATATACAAAATGAAAAAAATAGATAAAAGTGTAGTGAAAGAGTTAATTTAGGATCTACCATGAATAACATCTGCTCAAAATAATTTATTAGTCAAACCAATAACTAAGAAAAAAATTCAGAATGTTATATTTGCACTTTCTAATAATAAATTACTGAGCACTGATAGGCTCATATATGAATTTTATAAGGTGACAGAAAAAGATATTATCCTAGTATTATTCAAGCTGTTTAATGAAGTACTTAATATAAATGAAATGCCAAGCTCATGAAGCAAAATATCATTATATTAATCTTCAAAAAATTAGACTCCCTATATAAAATAAACAATTGAAGACCAATTTTTCTCACAAATTGTGATGCCAAAATATTTATAAAGATTATTACAAATTGGTTAAATTTAATATGCAATGAAATTATTAGACTATATCAGAGTGATTTTATTGCTAAAAAATTCTTAATAAATACAGTGCAGGATATTCTTACAACAATAAGAAATCAATTTGACTATTTTAAACATTATTGACTTTTGTTTATAGATTAGCAAAAAGCCTTTAATAGAATTAGTCACAAATTCTTACACCTAGTTCTTTAAAAAATAAAATTTGATAATAGATTTATAAGTATAGTTAAAACTCTTTTTACTACTCAATAAGCCCACATTACAATTAATAGATTGCTATCAGAACCTTTTATAGTAGGAAGAGAAGTTTGTTAAAAAGATTCTTTATCTCTACTTTTATATATTTTAGTTTTGGAACTATTATTAAGAAACATTCACAAAAAACTTCAAAGTATAAATATAAAGAGCCAGTTTTTTAAGGCTGCTACCTATACAAATAATGTAACTATAGGGATTGAATCTTAGATTGGCATTGTTTGGTAGAATTAATCAAGAAGTATAAGGCTGCTTTGAATACAAAGATTAATAAAGCTAAAACAGTTCTAGTACCAATTACTAGCAATGCAAAAAAGTCAAATTTATTAGAAGAAAATAATTTTAAAAAAATTACAAAAGATAAAACTCTAACAGTTTTAGATTATGAGGTTAATAGTATAGAAAATCCTGCAAAAATTGTATGGCATGATTTAATTCAAAAGATAAAAAATAAGATTGAAAATATAAATCATAGAAACTTTTATTTAGAAGTAAAATAATATTAGCAAAATCTTTGTTTATCTCTAAAATTTGGTTTCTTTTATATCTCTTATAAAAAAGAAAACAACTTAACATCATCAATAATCTAATAATAGACTGGGTCAAGTATAAGTCAAAGACACTTTCTCATTATTTAATATTTCAATAAGAATATAATCAGGGTGGGCTTATAGCCCCAATATTAAAGGATATTCTGGTTTCTAAACTAATTAGTATATAGTTAAAGTTAATAACAGAAGATAGTCTATAGTCAAAAATAAAGAGAGAAGCAATTACAGCATTAGTGCAAAATTAAAGAAAGATATCAATAAAAAATACTTTAAATAACATAACAGTAAAAACAAAAGGATGGCCTAAAAGATGGTGGTCTTACATATATACATAGAAAAGACTTGATGATAAGGTTTTAGATGAGAGTACTTAGTCTTGGGTGCCTAATGAAATTAAAATAGATGGGCAATTAGAAGATATTTATTTAGTAAAAAAGGCCACAGAATAGCTATACTTAAAATCAATAATGCCTATAGCTTTGCAGCTTGTAATAGACAGAACACAGTTATATACTTAATATCAAATTAAGTCAATTCCAAATAGAAAAAAAGATATATTTTGAAGATTAATGCATTAAGCCTTACTGTTGGATTTTAGACTAATATATATTATATATAAAAAGAATGATGAATGCCCAAGATGTCCAAAAAAAAAAACAAACTATAAAATACTTTGCATTAGAGTGTAAAGTGAGCCAGATAATCTAAAAGACAAGTATAAGTTTATAACAACATTAGCTAGTAACAGACCTCTATAAACAATAAAGAAAATATTTATAGTCTCAAATATAGAAGATCTACAGCTATATAAAACAGCAATCTGATTATATATTAACAGTATCTATAAAATATGGTGCTGGTATACCTGCTTGAAATAGTGACAAGAAGCAATTCCAGAAATAATTTTACTTATAATAGTACAAAATAGATTAAACAAAGAAATAAAAGTGCATAAATTGATGCAAAAAAGTAAAGAAGCAATATGTAACTTTCTAAACATAAATTTACTTAATAGTAAGAGACAAGTGAATTAGATACTGTAATAGTTGCAGCATTATATATAAGTTACTAATGATAGAAAAAATATAGTTAAAAATTAGGCATCTAAACAATGTACATTATATATTATGATATTAAATAATGTAATACAAATAAAGTAGATGCCAATAGTGTTCTGTGTTAATATTACAATAGGTTAAAAAAAAAATCCAGCAAATGTATGAATGAAAAGAAGAACTTACAGAAAGAAAACCTGCCAAAGAAGGTGTGATGAATACTAGTAAATGCTATCAAAATGGAGTCAAAGTTAAAATGAATAAAAA